ATTTTGTAGATGGCGCACATTGTAATTTAAGGAACCTAATTGTTCACTTGACCACTTCACTCTATAGTCTATATGTTTACATTCATATGTTCTTTTTACCATATCCATTTAAAGACACGACGATAGCACGCCTATAATTTTACTCGGGCTTGCGGACGCTGGCCGCGGTCGTTGGTCTGAGTCGGCCAATCTGTGTAATATACATAGTTCTGTGTCATATACATAGTTCTGTGTTATATACATAGTTCTTTGCTCTATTCATGGTTCTGCGCTCTATACATGGTTTTAAAGTTCATAGTTCAAATCAAGCAATTACTTTCCGCGACGCTGAATGCGAGATAGCGAGCGCGAGCCGCTGTTGGTATGCGGCATGACGCGTGTACGACAAATATGAGGCGGCTATGAGGTGTTTCAGTGATCATATCATACTCATGAATATGTTTAATTTCAAGAACATGGTGAATATTATGTATTTTTATTCAATTGCTGTTAAAATTCGTGTAAATAAAATTCGTTCCTTGTTTGTTTTGCTTGAAATTGAAATCTTAGATTAAGGTTTTTTGACGGTAGTCACATATTAGTTATGAAATTCAGTGCTAAAATGTCGGAATATTGACAAAGGATCTTACCGATTTATGGCGACCGATAAATTGTTCAATTTTCTCTCGTGAACCAACTCTCAGTTCAACATTGATCAACATCGTCGCGGGATCAACATCGTCGCGGGACCAACATCGTCGCGGGATTAACATCGTCGCGGGACCAACATCATCGCGGGACTAACATCGTCGCGGGACAACATCGTCACGGGACTAACATCGTCGCGGGACTAACATCATCGCGGGACAACATCGTCACGGGACTAACATCGTCGCGACGGGACCAACATCGTCGCGGGACCAACATCATCGCGGGACCAACAACGTCGCGGGACAACGTCGTCGCGGGACCAACATCGTCGCGGGACCAACATCGTCGCGGGACCAACATCCGCAGCCACGCCTCGACACCAAACATTTTAATCTTCTTACATAGAGCGCATGCGCGGCTTGTGCCCTGTGGGTTTATTCCTGCCACGTTATTCCTACCGCATATCACCATAACACCTGCACCACTGCAACACCTTCACCACCATAACACATTCACCACCATAACACATTCACCATCATAACACATTCACCACCATAATACCTTCACCACTATAGCACCTTCACTACCAGACCACCTTCACCACCACATCCCTTCACCACCACACCCCCTTCACCACCACGCCCCCTTCACCACCACATCCCTTCACCACCACACCCCCTTCACCACCACCATAACACCTTTAACACACATGATCCACTTCATCTAGGCGCTAATATTGTCCTAATCCTAACCATGTATCAACAGCGCCTGCATTATCCTATCCTGCAGGTCCAGACTCGGGCTATAAATCTCATTGCCGCTTCTCCTCCGCATATCCTAGGCGAATTAATGCTGGCCGACGTCCGGCCGCTGATTGGCCACCGATATATCGCCTATAATTTGTATATGCGTGTGCTTTGGTCGCCTAATTTATTTTAATGGATTCATGGCGTGTAATTTGAAGAGCGCACTACCGCACAACGCGCGCTCATTGAGGACACCAAAATATGGGCTCATGACCAACATACTCCTGTAGGACACTCTCTTTCTCTCTCTTTCTCCTCTCTTTTTTCCTTCTATCTCTTTCATTCTTATTCATCGCTATTCCTTCTGCTTCTTCCTTCGGGTGGCAGAATCTGATCGGCTCGCGACACAAATGGCATGATATTTTGTCCGTACCAAACATTCCTTCTTATTTAAACGGATTCAAAAGAACGCACCTACTACATTTTTAATTTCATGCATTAATGGTAATAGCAAAGCAATGTATGCTTTAGCTAAACAACGTAAAACACATCTCCAGCTATCGACGTTAACGTATAATTTTTGCATTGTGGCTTGGAAGTTAAAGTTGAACTAATTAGAACGGTGTAAGCGTAGACAAATACAAGAATTTATTATTAAACTGAATAAAATTACAGAGAGAGGTTCGATGCTTGTTCTGCAAGTCAGAGCATGTCGGCAGGATTGCTTGCATATGTTATGAGAGGCAGGTTCCTTCGACAGGCTATTAAAGCAAGTTAGTTAGGCAAGTTCCCTGGCAAGTTTCCTAGGAAGGTTATTTAGGCAGGTTCTTAAGGAAACTGCCTGAGACAGGTACAGCAGGTTCTTTTATAGGCAATTTCATGAGGCCGGTTTCCTAGGCAGGTTCTTAAGGCAGGTTACTGATGCCGATTCCAGAAACAAGTTAATGAGGTAAGGTAATAGGTAAATTTTTAAGTTCAGTTTCCTATGCAGGTTTTTGATGTAAGTTACTGCGGAATGTTCTTAATACAGATTCTTCAAATAAGGTTCCTGGAGTGCCATTAGCAGGTGCCTAAGGCAGGTTCTTAAATTAGGCTCCTAAATCAGTTTTTAAACAGATGTCAAGAGCAGGTGCCTAAAGCAGGTGCCTAAAGCAGGTCCATATAGCCTGCGTCTAAAGCAGGTGCCAAAAGCAGGCGCCTAAAGCAGGTACCTATAGCAGGCTCCTAGGGCTGATGCCTAAAGCAGGTCCCTAGTGCAAGTCTCTAAAGCAAGTGCCTAGAGCAGGTTCCTAGAGCAGGGGGCTAAAGCAGGTACCTGGAGCAAGTGCCTAAACCAGGTGCCTAAAGCAGGTGCCTAGTGTAAGTGCCTAAAGCAGGAACCTTTAGGAGTTACCTATTGCAGGTACCTATTGCAGGTGCCTAGTGCAGGTGCCTAGAGCTGTTGCCTAGAATAGTTTCCTAGCGCAGGTGCCTGGTGCAGGTGCCTAAAGCAGGCGCCTAGAACAGGTTCCTAGAGGAGGTGCCTAGTGCAAGTACCTAAAGCAGGTGCCTAAAGCAGGTGTCTAGAGCATGTTCCTAAAGCAGGTGTCTAGAGCAGGTTACAAGGGCATGTTCCTAGAGCAAGTGCCTGATGCGTCACACACGCGGATGATGACTTGCCATTTAACAAGGCGGCAGCAGTAGGCCATTTTGAGACCAAAAAAAAACAATTTGGTGGGGATTTTGTTGCCATTTTAATTGCATTAACATAATATCTGCATGATATCCGACTCATTCGCACGGTGATGGCCATAAGCCTCCTGAGGCGAAATAATTCTAAACCAAAATTTGAATGAAATTAATGTATTCTTATTTATATGATATGTATGGATTTGTGAAAACTATGCACATTATTTATGTACATATTAACTATATCTTTAATGCAGGTTTCTTTGAAGACCAGAGAGTATTTCTTATTGACAATTTTCTTATTGTTTATTATATTAACTATTTATTATGTTAACTTTATTATATTATTATATAAACTATTTATTATATTAACTATATCATATACATATTATGTATCTATGCAACTATACATATAACTACATAAAGAGTATACATATTTCTATTTCAAAAAGATTTAGTTCGGAATCATTGTTATGGGCGCGGCTCTGGAAGAAGAAGCCTCTAGGCATCAGGAAAAAAATTTAATTGCTTTTTTTTGCGTGGGAGTTCGTGTCTTGTTTTCTGCCCATTTGAGGAATAAACAACGCGATAAATAATCATCTTAAGTGTCTTCTAATTTTATGGCTGTTTTTTTTATTCAATAATTGATTAATGTAGGGACTTTTTTCGCACCTTCATTTAATTTACGGATATTATCAAATAGATCGCTTCAGTGGCAGCTATTAACTTAGTTTTGTTGAGAACAAAGATTATTTGCAGCAGCATTTTGATTTAACGGCACTTATTTACATATAATTTAATTCGACTTTATATTTATACCTTAAAAGTACAGCATTAAACGTAGTAGTAAAAGTTAACGTAGTAAAAATACAAGAGATGTTAAACGTAGTAAATGTTAAACATTGTGTTTTCGTTGAAACTTGAAACTTTTTTTGAAAGACGTTGAAAACTAAATTAAAGTTGCTACAATTGTCTTCATTCTTATATTTGGCATTTTCTGAGTTTATTAACTTACAAGACACATTAATCATATTTATTGAAAAATATTTATTATTTCCTGGAAAACAATTGAAAACCTGCCACATTTCCTTGAAATTGCCGTTGGTTTGCCATGCCTGTCATCCTCAGTATCCTGCGTGTGCAGGATACTGGTAATTACTTCTTACCCAGGGTATCAGTGATACCGTTAAGTCTATCTGACGTAGCTGTCTGAAATATTAGCAGGAAATGAAGAGAAGCGAAGTATCGACGATAAGAAGATGATTTAGTTTTAAAGATGAGTCATGAACTTAACATATTTAATTTTACTTGCACTCATTGGGCGACAGATTATAGTAGTTTCACATGGATTTTTAAAGTGTCGATGAACTTTGTCATCCTGAAATTCAGGTCAGTGGAACAAAACTGAAATGAAATTCGTTCCCTCTCTTCACTCAAACTTGTAAAAAAATTTAGTAACCAGGCCATATTCGTCCAATTTGCATAAGAAAAAAAATTCCCAAAAATTGTTCAAATGAATTACTCTCTGGCTCTCAACACTACCGGCTTTAATAATTCTAATAACTTATATAAATGTGATTTCTTTCAAAGTATTCACCATTGCGTCACAGGTATACTATAGGACTTCTTTGCTCAAATTATACAATTTAAAACGCCGCAGTTGGAGGCTAACAGAGAACAATTTTTAATTCAAGGAAAAAATATAAATATAAAGCTCATGAATATTAATAAGCTAGCTTTCTTGAATGTTTAAGAGAAAGATGTAATTATAAAGCTGCTGAGAATCCCTGAACTAGAGAATTTACATATCTACAAAGCAACTATCAATTCCTAAGCTTGCTCCCTGGCATTCACAGTAAATAATTATATAATAAAGTTCTATGGAAGGTAATTAGCTTTCTTATTTTTTGATATAATCATCCTAAATATATTACTTATTATATTATCGGTACTCACATGATGCTGTGTCGTCGCTATCGGTTGGAGGAGCGAAGGATTCGCTCGCGGTGTTGCGGTGTAGTTGGAGTTGAAGTATCAAAGTTGAGTTATAACGTCAACGACTTCTCGACATTTATGTTATTAATATAATATATATAATGGAATATACAATGCCTACAATTCTAAGGGTGAATAATAATCTAGTTACGGGGATAATGCCCAAGATAATGCCCTGGAAATGCTAACCCTACTCCTACACTTCCTTTATCTGGAAATAAAAAATATTTGCTGAATGCATAACAAAAAAAATAATTCTTTCCCAATCTGAGTGAACAGGGAGATTGCAATTTTTAATTTTTATTTGTTCAACGGAAAGCTCTGACCTAGCTAAATGAAGAACGAAAAGATGGAAATGAGCGATTCCAGAAATAACGTCCATGGTAAGGAAGAACCGTAATTTGAATACGATCGTCAAATCCCAGAGATAAATTTACATATACATTAACTTCCCTTGAATGATTTAAGTTCAGTTAGATAATTTAAGGCTTAATTTTGTGTAAGTTAAGAACACTGTTACGTCTGAGGCATACACTTCAACGAGACTTCAACGCTGCATAGGAAATGATCGCTAGTAAGTGGCTTATAACACATACCAGTTAGAACATGTTTGTTATAAAATACCAGTTAGAAATCGTTAAATTATTTATGAATTCAAATGAACTATTTTATATGATTCTCATATAAAATTAAATTTTAGACACATTACGAAATTTCGATTTTTCTGTTGCATTTTTATCGCGCTCAACTGATCAATGAGTTTATCTAACGATATGCAGTCGCAAATCCTTTTTCATTGCGGTTACTTGAATTATTTGTATAAAGCTAACGCTTGTATAACATTTTTTTTTTGTAAATACAAATTATGCGTAAAAAAGAATTTTGTTGTTTTTTATGGCACACCTTCATGACTATTTATTATTAAATATGAATCACGAACGTATGATGATGATCTATAAGATGCTGCTGCGCTGAAGCTTTGAATTAGGTTTTGTTTTAAATGGGGTATTCGCATTGCAAATTCTTTACTGTAATTATGCTTTTTGCCGTCATTACCAATTATCTTTCTTATCATTCCTCCTGAATACGTCCTAAAATTCATCTTTATGTTGCTCTTTGAATCCGGTCAGGCATCCTTCATCGAAACTTCACCGTAGATATCACTAATCGTTATCTTGAATCTCTTCGCCGAGCATATATTGTATTATATAGCATATAATCCAGAATTATATGTCTATTGTAATCCATTCTCAAATCCTTAAATCCACTAATTAAAAATAATGAAACCTAATAATAGATTCCGAAACTGTGATCGATAATCCGTTCATCGCCCCGACACTGGTAAAAAAAATTCGTGAACAGAAGTTTTTAGAACGAAGATTCTAGTCATACTTTGGCCGCAAAAAACACGTAGCTGACATGACCACATTGTTATAATAACGTTTTATTCGTTCTAGCATTTTTATGGTGATTAAAAAGTGCGAGTAATGAGAGACTGGTGATTAGTAGGGTGATTAGCTGCGCATTTCTGACCCTCAGACTTGACCTCCCGCGGCTACAATACCGGCGAGTCCGCTAGGACGGACGGTAACTAGAAATTATTTAGAAGAATTTTGTGTAGGCAAGGAATAATGATTTTATTTAGTTATTATTTGCTATAATTGAGTTAGTATTTCTTTCGAATTCAGTTATAATTAATTTTAATTCTGTTATTATTGGCGAGGAATACTATTATGTTAGTGATGAATTCAGTTCATATTAGTTATAAATTCGGTCATTATTAGTGATGAACTACATTGTTTGTACATCTGAACACAATAAGATTATTTGAAACGAATTCACAGAAAGTGTCCACATCGATTAATATGCATGCGTTAAATTTCGATGGAAGAACATGCAAGCGTTTCTCTAAGATAAACAAATTTTTCTATAAAAACTGCATGGGATGTACAACAGTTACTTGAAATAAATAACTATCATCATAGTGCAATGCAACCATGTCTTTCACAGTGGATTCTTTTGTATAATTCTCGTTTATTTCGGAGAAAGTTAAGGAAATAAGTTTAGGCTTAGACAGCTAAAATAGCTGCGATTAGGAAAACACAAAAATTTAGGATCATTTGATAGGGAATTATTAATTTGTAGGGACATCCAATGTTAATCTTAGTTGTGAGTAATTAAATCTTCAAATTTTCCAATAAAATCAATCTTTACGTAAACATCCGAACTACTTCTAAATTGACTTTTTCTTTCTTCGTAAGTTCAGTTAACTGTAACCGCACTACTGCCTTGTCCTCCAACGTTTGGGGTAAGCTCTTCAATAGCTGCTACTCGATTGTTCCTCAAACTTGTAATATTTCCTTGTATATTGATTGTACCTAATATCGACTTCATCTTAATATGTACTGTTAATATGTATTCATCTTAATATGTATTGTATTTCATTCATTCTACAGGTGCAACTCACGGATACATACACTTAAATACACTCTCCTAACACGCGTCTCTCTAGATTAGTTTTCTTCTAAATCCCTCATCGCGTTTGACGTAGCTTATGACGGTGTTCAACCACCTTACCGCTATAAATTGAAGGAAATTGTAGTCGTACTTGAACGCTGAACTGTACGGTTTTTCAGAGATGTGAACATTTTTGTTCGCTGATATTATGATAGTTTTTAAATGACTAGAGGGTTAATCTGCAAAATTTTAAGCTGTGTGATATTTTCTATGGTGCTCTTGATTTCAATGTAGTTGGTAGAGAAAATCTTGAATTATATATAATAATGGAAAACTTTAAAAATTATAGTAACGGCAGCTATTCTATCTAAATGATTACATTTCCAAACCATTGAATTATGTGCTAAATTTTGTTTGACTAGGAAAATATTCGACTCGTCGTAAGTACAACAGGAAGTCACGTTGTCTTACACCGCTCGTTAACGACCCACATGCTCCCCACACGCCGGCAGCGGCGCGACTGCCCCGCGGTTGTGCACTGCACTGCATTTTAAGCCTGCGATTTCGGCAAGCAAAAACTCAAGAAAGCCACACACATCGTCGACACTCGCACGGAGGCGCAGCGCGCAACTGACCTCGGAACCGGCTGCGCTGCCTTCATATACAAGGAGCGATGCACTCTACATCACTGCCTCTCGATATACAAGGAAAGATACACTCTTTCTCACTCTTGATGAACAAGGAAAGATGCACTCTTTCTCACTCTCGATATACAAGAAAATGTGCACTCTCTATAACACTCCCTCTCGATATACAAGGAAATATGCACTCGCTATAACACTCACTCTCTCCCTCTTGATATACAAGGAAAGATGCACTCTCTACATCACTCCTCTCGATATACAAGGAAAGATGCACTTTCTACATCACTCCTTTCTCTCTGTATGTTTTTGGGTACTTCTTTATATTATTTTTCTTGCATTCAGTTATTATTTGAATATCGTTTCAAATATTTTGGACTCCCTTTGTTCTCATGACACTTACGTACCCATTCTTTGGGTCCTTCTACACCTTATTTTTCTTGCATTCTGTTCGTAATCTTGCGGTCATCTCTAATGTTTTGCGTTGGCCTAATTCTCTCGACATGCTTGGTCTGATAAACGGGCGTTGATAATCAGATATTTCTTTGTACGATTCATTTTGACGTTGGAAGTGCCGTTGTGTTGAATAATGGAAAAAATTATATATTTTCATTCGATTGGCAAACTTATAAGCTTTTCGAAATTATATTCATAATTAAAAATTTTCTCGCGCTGGCAGGGTACATTATTCCTTACCAGGACACTTGCACGGGGATAAAGAATTTTTAATCATTATGATCAATTAGATTAGATATTTAAAAGGATGAAATCCAGGTTAATTTTGAGGGTCCTTATTGCAAGTGTCTGCGAAGGTCTCATTTAGATGACAAAAAAAAGGTGTAATCATTTTTTTGCGCACAGAACATAAAAAATTCCTATTTTCATTTATGAAAACGTGATTTATACACTTCAATTCATGGTACTATTGTGCAAAATTTTTTTATTTTTTACTTAATTGTTTTTATTAGTAATTCTTAATCGTAATCCAGCCAAGCAGTTTTGCATCAAGCGATTTTAATTTAAATCTTGAAATTAATAACTGAAATAATCGGTAAAAATATAAAGCCCTTTGCATAAAATTTTTTATTTTTTTTCACATTTAGTCCAAAGCAGTCAAATACTCATCAGTTTAGTTTATTCAATCATTATTCGTATTCAATATCAATTATTCGTTCAATATCGTTCAATTATTCGTATTCAAGAATTTTAAGATGATAATTTAGAGGGAGCTTTGGAATTTTTGGAAGCTTTTTACAAATCGGGTAAGATAATTGATCGTATCTTCTATTTCCCGACATTTAGCACCCGCCTAATCCTTGAAATTATACCTAAATATTTTTAAAGGTCGCTCAATATAAGCTACAGACACAAGCACCAACGCTTTAATAAGCTATCATAACTAACACAGTCACCACACCATCATTATGTTGATACGCTAATTATTCAAATATTCACAAATAATCTCTGCACTCTTTGTCTGACAAGATATGGTTCGGTCAGACAAAGTGGTTTTGAATAACGGTTTTTCTTCCGCCTTAACCCGACGTCCGCCACACCGGATACACTCAGAAATATGACGGTATCATATTGTCGCAAACTTGTTTCTCGGAGCAAATATACCTATACACTCATGTCGTTCAATTGGCCAAACTGATCATAATAATTAATGACCCGCGCAATTATGGGCAAAAGTTCATTGCAATTTCAACATCTCATTCGTATCTCTGAGTGCGGAGATAATAAGTAGCTCTTATGGAGATAATATGTAGCTCTCAACTCCGTCTCCCGGGCCCATTCTCCTCTTGTGATGTAATAGAGTAAGCTGAACAACCATTCAACCATTCAATAACCCAAGCTTCCATTTAGTGAATATGCCTCCCCACTTAATCCTTTACCGCCGTATGTCACTCTCCGGGAGCAAAACATTCAACTTAAATTATGCGTAAACTATTGAGTGTAGCAACCTGAGGACGTTTGTATGCTACAGAGAACATTTTAAAGTTGTCGTACGTGGCGGCAACCATCATGCAAGTCATTTTGCGCTCACCAGAACGTACGTATCTTTTTTGGGAAGTATAGGCGCGTGACAATATTGCTCCGGTTACTCGTGTCAG